ATGGTGGGTAACCAAAATAGATTTAAAGCATAACTTTATATATGATTTTGAAAAAAAGAAATTGGTGACCGAAATGGAACTATTAGAATAATTGAGTGACTAGATATATAGTTTACCCTAGATAATATATAAACAGTGGTCATGTTCTCGCCTAATCGTCACTAATAACTTCTCTACTAAGCCTTGTATCTCTTCTATTACACTAATAAATACAATGAACTCCTTTCCAGGGTTTTGAAGACTCAAACTTTGCCCCTTACCATTCTGTTTGTTGGGATATTGTTTCCATGAGTATTCGATTAAGTCAAGTTGGGTGGAAAAAATTGAGTTAGTCAAATTTACAAGTACCATTTTATCATTCAAATTTCATTTGAATTTTTTTTAAATGAAGTCTAATTTTTGAAATTATAATCAAGTTCAATTGAATATATTTATTCAAATTTATGTTTAAATTTAGATGTAATTATGTTACACATCCTTTAGATTTCCCCATGAGTCACATCTCCATTTTTACTCCCCTCCAATCGAAAAATAAGAAAGAACTCCTTTAATTGATGACTCCAGAGGTCCATATCCTCCTATCAACAACATTTGATAAGATATCTTATAGACTCATATGGTTTACAAAAATTAAATCTATTGTCAAATGATCGTATCCATTTAACTTGTCAACTTACAAGTAATCATAAAGACCTTAGGTCTGACACGAACACTAAGAGTTACTATAAAACCCCTTAGCCAAGATTCAGAGAGTGGACTTATTCTTTAAATTGTCTCTTTTTAGCTCCAGACTTTCTTTATCACCATAAGATAGTGGCGACCACGACACATTTCTTCTTCTAAAATCATTGATTGCAGCTCTCCACCCAAATAAAAATCACCTATAGTCTCCATAAACCAAATGTTACTTATAATAATTAAAGTTATGAGCATGGAACACCTCTTGATGAGAAGGAATAAGTCGAGATGAATCCCCAAGAGTAAAATAACCAACATCAATCCATCATCTTCCTAAAATTTCCCTTATGTACTTGGTTTTTTCTAGCCAATGGCTAAGATCAAGCTGCAGAACTTGCATGTGTGGCCAGGGTTTTAAATAGCGTTCGCGGTCACGTTTTCGGTCGCATCGTTTATCACAGTTGCGAATGTAATGGATGTCATTGTGGTCATTGCGGGTGTTGTGGTCGTGAATTTTTTTTAAATGTCGCACAACTTGCCCTAAAATGACTAAATTAAATATAATTAAAATAAAATTGTAAAATTTAGATTTAGAAATTTAGATTATTGAAATTAAGACTAAATTAAATAAAAAATTAAAGTTTACATTTTAAACTTGGGATTAAATTGTAAATTCTAAAAGTGGGAGGGATGTCAAATTAATATATCCTTTAAAATTATATTTTAAAAATTATTAAAAAGATAAAGCAATCCCCTCCCCTCTTCCCCGATCTTTCTTTTATTCTCAACTTCCCATCCCCGATCTTTCTTTTACTCTCAACTCTCCCCTCCCATTTTCCTCTCCCCCCCCATATTTCATTGTATAAAAGAAAAAAAATATGCTTTCACTCTCAACTACCCCTCCCCCTTCCTCCTCTCCCCGACCTTTCATTTTTTGAAACAAAGAAAAATTGCGGTTGGAAATTGGAATCACGATTAGAATAACGCTTATAGTGTCCTGTGATCGGCGTAATCCGCCGTTACCCGTTAAATTGCGGGCTCGACATAACTACTATTGGTGTGAATCCGTTACCCACCACAAAAATCATGAAAATCGGTTTCGGACGGCGGCGTTATCGTAATATCACGACCGCTATAGCATTTTCTATCCGTAATTTGAAACCATGTGTGTGGCCTCAAGCTTATTGGGAAGCCTAATCGTAGTTGCAGTAGTAGGATCAACTGACCCTCCAATTCCACTGAAAGCATACGACGGGGAGAAGAAAAAGCAAGGAAGATAACATAGACAACATGACACTCTTTTTCACTCGAATGACTCTTCCTATGAGCGTTGGCAACGGGTAGGAGACATCGTTCAAGGCCTTGATTTTACAAAGCACACCCTATCAACCTGCCCTAGTTCGGACCATGCACAACTCTAATCAATTTGGCAATCCAAACATTTGAACAACAAGTCTAGCTCACGTCGTCATCAAGCACCACCACCGTCGTACACAAGCAAAAGGCTGATGAATCTACTGGGCCTATCAACTAAGAAGCAGTGGATGTTGTTAACATGGATGTTTATTACTATGATGACACCATAGGTATCATCAAGAAAGGGGTAAGAACACAAGTAACACTAGTAATTTCGTGTAGCCAATAGTTACGAGAGTAACTCTCCTAACATTCCTTTAGGCTCAAGACTTATCTCAAACAAACTTATTAGTTAGTCCTCCATCTTTGCTTTAGATTAAATAGAATGAGACCATCTATATTGTATATGAGATAAGCATGTCTTCGCTCTAGACGAGGCAAGACTCGGAATACAAATTAGTTGTTTCCACATAAGAGATAGGGAAAACTTCCTTTTAGAGTAATGTGTAGTGTTGAAAAAATTTTAATACATGCAGTTACCAGAGTTCTTTTTCCTTCATTTAAAACACTTAAATTCTCCTAGAATATCTTCATTGTTATCTCTCCAAGAATGTTTATGCCATCTGCAATGTCTCCATTGCATTGAGATACTTCTACCATGTTATTATGACATGGAGATGTCTTCGATCTAGTTAAGAGCATCGAGCTATCGAGCCGCCTCCACGACATTCTAAATGAAAAAATGTCTTCATCATTTCTTTATTAGCCAACCATACGAGTTAAGACGTCTCTATTATGGACAAATAACATTGAGATACCATCGCCATTTTCTGTAAAAGCGTCGAGATATCTTCACAGACCTACAAACTCTTTAAGGCATAGAGTTACCTTCACCCCAAGCTTACGACGTATAGAATTTACCCGAGGGGTCGAGTTATCTCTCTCTAGGAATAAAATTTCTCCATTGTACCTTATCGAGCATCTAGATGCCTTTGCCCTAGCAAGACGGATTCCTTAGCAATGAAGAGTGTGAGAGATCTCAACGTTATTCGACCAAGTAGAGGAAGCAACTCAGTGTGTGGTAGTGTACTATGGTGAGTGCAGAGGCATCTAAATGTGTCCATATACTACAGGTAAAACTGAGGCATCTTTGCCATTGCGTTACTAAGAAAAGACATCTCAATGCCAAAGCGGAAAAATCTTGACCCCTCATGTATTTTTGTAATCATAAGCCGAGATAAAGACAACTCAACACCCTATAGAGGCAACTCACGATCAGTATGTATGAAGGTAACTGAACGTTTCTATAATTAATGGGTGAAGGCTTCTTTAGCGTTCAAAGGCATCATATCTCTTACAATGAGTGAAGGTATCTCAACACTCGGAGCAGAGATAAATAGATGCTCTTTTAACAGTGGAGGCAACTCAATGTCATGATAGTGTAATGAAGAATAATAAGAACATTTCAAGTGATTCAAGATCTAATCGGAGATGCAAAAAAAATCATGTGCATTAATAATTCTAAAATTACATGCTATCTGTGATGAGGTTTTTTTGTTACATGATTAAGGTGTACATTAGTTGTCCCTTATAGTTTTGCACAAGGTGTTCCTGCAAAAAATATGTTAGTTCATAACTATGTTACATGTTTGCAAGATGAGACTTATCGATACTCGTGAGACGTTATGGAGGGTTAATGGCTGCACATGCTTTTCCATGCTTTCTTTTGATGTTGCGTCATCTACGGTGGGATTCCTTGCATAAAGCTTCCTCCAACACATGTTCAAGCCCCTTGAGCACAATAATGTTCGATGGAAGGGTTGGCCAACTTTTCCACCCATATGTTTGGGTCGCTGCTTTAGCTATTGCTACATTATGCCCAAATTAGGGAGGCTCATGGGATGTGTTAGGAAAAACTAAGCCTAGAGCGACGACGCTTACGCATCCCCCAACACTCGTAAGGGAGGCGATCTTAACTAGGAGGACAAATAACATTGCTTGTGTTGTCCCCCTTTTTTTTACCTTTGTTCTCTTCACCATATGCACCTTTGGCATGCGTCAATGGACTGACTAGAGATGAGGTTGGTTGTTTTGGTTTTTAGAGAGGGTGAGGGTTGATGTTTTAGCTTTGTGGGGAGACAATGATAGTTGTTTTTTTTGTAAGATTTCAACTAAATTTTCTAATATGACATGTTCCACTTTCATTGCACCAATCGTTGATGAGAACAATTAATTTTATTGACCGTGAGTGATTCACTCCTTCTGTTTTGGGCTGAGAGTCGCGACCAACGAAGTGACTATCATAGATCGATATTTAGATGAATAAAAGGTTCGATCATGGAGATAATAATGAGGGGTGTTAATTGTAGAAGGTGTCAGCTCCCCTCTCAGTCTTGGTTAGAATATTTATAATGATCTTTAATATGTGTATCAATCGTAAGATAATAAGGCTATTTATAGATTAATAGGCTAGATGGATTCCTTAATTAATCTTTAAATTTCGTTATGGTACGTTTACTTATCAGAGGTTTTATGTAGAGGTTTCATCCATAAAGAGAAGTTGGCTCGAAGGCCTTTATTCACAGAAGCCAAGCTGTTTGGAGACTCTGGTAATAAAAAAAAAAAGGCTTGTCTAGGGTTCTCAACTATAGAGATGTGTTAGTATCATGAGGTCATTCTCATAGTAACACATAATTAAAATATTAACATTAAATAATAAATAATCCATTTATATAATAAATAAACAAATATAAAAATAGTAACATTGTGAAGTTTGGTGGGGTACCTCCAACGTAAAGAGGCTGTAAGAAAATAAAAGGCTTAGCATATTTGTCGTGAAACCATAGATATTTTGGAATATTATTACATAACCGCACCAGAAACCTATCATTGAATCGCTCTTTTTTAGCCCCCCGTCAAATAAAAACCCAATACCGATTCCCCAAAAAACAAAGCCACCACCAATGTTTGCTTGAATAAATATCAATCGGTGTATTTTAGCCATGCATCGTTAAAAAAAATATTGGTGCATGAACTCTGGGTATAAAAAGGGTAAAACGATGGAGGTTTTGCGTACGAAGGAATTGTTATTACTTTGGTCCAGAATGCAAAGCACCCGCCTTGCTCTCGTGGGTGGGAATCACACCACCGCCCGATTTTGCACCCGCTAAGTTTACACAACTTCGTCTCCTTCTCTTTCTCGCCTACTGTTTCTTTCTTGTTTTCCCTTTCAAGTTTCATCTGCTAGTCCCAAGATTTTTTCCTGTTTTGTTTCTCGTACTACAACTGATTGGATTCTTGTTGCTGATCTATAAGCCCTTTTCTGTTTGTGTTTTTTAAAATCAAGAGTTTCCATCGATGGAAACCAAATGCCATAATAACAAGCGTAAAGTTTGGCAAAATGACATTAATTTGCATTCTGGTACACGTTTGACGGTCAAGGTTCTTCGTTCCAGAGTTTTTAAGCTCCTTGGTCGGTTCTTGATGGTTTTTGCTTTAACCATTGTGTTACTTAAATTCATTGTGAACAACGAAACTGGTCTAAACCCTAAAATTGTCTCCGATGATACTGTTGTCGTCGCTGATCCGGTTAATCTGGAGTTTCTGCCAGTTTTATTCAATGATTTGAACAATGAAGGTATTCTGAAACCGGGGGACAAAGGACTATTGTTGAGTGATGAATATGATGAAGAAAAAAAAACCATTCAGGGTTCTTTGTTGTCGACGAAAATCGATATGGAATTCAGTGTTGCAAATGATTTCAAAGAAAAAAGCTTTATCCCCAATGAGTACTTTGATTTCATCTTCACCAAAAGCTTTCAATCCGCACACGAATTCGTCGACCGCATCCTCAAAGTCGGTGGCATCGTTGCTATTCAAGAGTTGGGTGAATGGTCTTCACATTCATTTAATAATCCGTCTGATTATAAGATGGTTTACTACAGGAAATTCCATTCGATAAATGTTTTTATAATGAAAAAGCTCAAAAATGTTCGAACAACCACGACCACCACCAAAAGGCGGCTCTTGGGGTATAACACATCGGAAGCAAAGAAAGCGGTATTGAAGAAACTAGAAGATGTTCTTCTCGAACCACCGAGAGCATTCTCGGGGACATCGAAAACCTACCGCAAACGAACCAAATATTTACCGGACTTATTGGGGGACACGCTCGAAAGCTACCCTCGTCGGGTTTTCATCGACGTGGACTCATCGGAGAAAGACGGTGGCAGCGGCACCAACTGGTTTTCCAAGCACTACCCAACACGGAACCTGGAATTCGAGATGTACAAGATTGAGACACTGACCAAGGAGTCATGGAAGAAAAAGGCGGTGCAGGAGACGACGGGGATGTCGGATTGGCTGAGAAAGAACGTGAAGGAAGAAGAGTATGTGGTGATGAAGGCTGAGGCGGAAGTGGTTGAAGATATGGTGAAGAGCAAAGCTATAAGATTGGTTGATGAATTGTTCTTGGAATGCAACCCTAAAGGAGTTGGTGGAAGAAAGAATGTGAGAAAAAGGGCTTACTGGGAATGTTTGGCTTTGTATGGCAAGTTGAGGGATGAAGTTGTTGCAGTACATCAATGGTGGGGTTGATTTCAGCTTTCATTTTTAATTAATATTTATCTATATTTTTGTAGGGCAAGCAACATGGTTTAAGGTGTGAGTTTGAGAAAGAGACGTTTATTTATTGATTGATTTATACTAAAATATATCTAAAATTTGTTTAAGGTGTCTAAGTTCTTTTAAATTTTCAACTAATATATAAATATATATCTAAAATTTGTTATCAAGTATTTTTAGATTTTTATTTTCCTCACATTCAAGCAGAAACACCAGATAACTTTATTGTTTCAGTGTGTGGAGTTATATATTTTTTTCTTTTTTGTTCTTTATCGGCTCTTTTGCTTGGGTCGACTTCGTGTGATGAATTGTAGTGATATTTTTTTCTCTTGTTTATTGAAGTTGTCACTTTTAAAATATATAGAGTAAAGTACAAAAAATGGTCCCTATACTATAAGGTGATACTTTATTGAGTCCCTTGACTATTAAAAGTTATAAAATTGTCCTTCGACTATAGGGTGTTGCTTTGTTAAGTCATCTGACTATTAAAGTTACAAAATGATAACCTGACTATTTAGTATGTTCCAAACCCATTTTTCCGGTTAAAAAATTCAATACGTTTTGATTTGGATGTTAACATATTGACTGAGATATGATATGTTTTTTTATTATTATGTGATCATATTTTGTCATATCTCAATCCTTAGCTTAATATCCAGCTCAGACTGTCGTCAATTTTTTAATAGAAAATGACGAGTTTGGAACATACTAAATAGTCAGGTAACCATTTTGTAGCTTTTAATAGTCGGTGACTCAACAAAGCAACACCCTATAGTCGAAGAACCATTTTACAACTTTTATTAGTTGAGATACTCAACAAAGCATCACCCTATAGTCGAGGGACCATTTGTATACTTTACCCAAATATATATTAATTATTTTACTATTAATGGTAAAATGTGGTTATAATTGATATGGATGATTCGTTCTTTCTAATTTTTACTGAATATGCAGTCGATGATTAAACTGTTATTAGTCGATAATGTCAGTTGCGAAGGAGTCTTTGAGGAGGAGATTAAATCAATTGGGAGAAAGGAGAGAGCTCCTAAATTTACGTTCATGATAATTCCAATAAATTTTTTAATATCAAAATTGGTTAAATTACAAAAAGATATATATATTCTAAATTTTGAATATAAGTTATAAATATTATGAAATTGGTTGCATTGAGTTACTTATATGTGCTCTATATTATATTTTTTATGAAAATTTTCACTAGAGATGGCCATGGGTCGGGTTGGGTTGGGTTTTTGGTCCACCCGACCCGACCCGAGAACAATGACTCATCCACCTGAGATTCGACCCGACCCGCATGAAGCAAGATTTCACCCGATCCGACCCAAAATAATAAAAAAATATTATTTTTATTTAATAAAAACAATGAATTAATTAAAATATATATATATGGGGGTATTATTGTAATTATTCCTAAATATTTAAGGTAAAATTATATTTTTTTGAGTTATGTATTTTTCACCTTAAACCCGAACCCGACTCGGACCCGGATTGTTTTTTAAAAAATTATTTTGAATTGAATTTTCTTTTTTTTTGTCAAATTTTGCTTTTGAATTGAATTTTTTTGTTTTAAATTGTTTTTTAATCAAAGTTAATTGTTTTATCATATGTATATCTTATTTCTTCAATGATGTTTCGAAACTCATCTTTAAGTTTTAATATCAATCGAGTCCAACGGTTATATTTTTAAAATATTATTACTCGATTTTGATACTCAGCCTTTAATTTTGAAACCAAAGTTACATTTGATCATTTAATGTTCTAGATCAGTGCTCCCAACGGCTATAATTAACCTCACAGCTCCAAACGACTAGGAATATATTAGAGGATATGAAAAGAATAAAAAATAAGATGGAGAACAAACATAAACATTATAGAAAGAAAATATCAACATCAAAGAGTCTTATAGTACTAAATAGTTATATTTTTCGATGTCAAACATTTGTAAGTTTAAATTGTCTATATTGCTAAAGTGTTATTTTAGTGAATACTTGATTATGCAAACATATTTGTCTTGTGAAGTTTTTTTATGTTTGTTTGTTAAATTTGTATAGATATTATGTAAATTAAAAAGTTATGGGCCAAATTGCATCTAATAAAATTCAGAAGGATTATAAAAGACGAACATAATAGTATGATGGTGATGAAACAATTTCATTGAGAAGTTGAAAATATAATGTATAAAAATGGGAATGAAACTTTGTACATAATTCTGGGATGGATCAGAAGAAAAGTTTACAAAAACAAAGAATCCATCACCGGATACGGTTCAACTGAGAGAATGGCTCATGGTTCGCTTTTGGAGCAGCTTTAGCCACTTCTGGGGCCCCAAAAACATTCCAGAATCTTAGTGTCTCGTCCCCGGCAGCTGATGCCACCGTGCAGCCATCGGGGCTTTGAGCCATGTAAAGTACTCTAGACGTATGACCGGTTAACTCCGCCATCTTCACCATCGATGGATATTTCCAAAGGGTTAACTGATTGTTAGTAAATCCATGAGAACTCAAAAGCTCCCTCTCGTTCTTGCTCCACAGCAGAGAGCACACCTGAGAGCCTGTATCGACCGAATTCAAGCATGCACCCGTATGTGTGTTCCAAAACTTAATGGTTCGATCACCGCCTCCTCCACCAGTGGCCAGCAAATTGCTCTGGAAAGGGCACCAGGCTAGGGCCTTGACCGCAGATGTATGATCCTCCAACCTGTGCAGCCATTGTGTTGGTGAATTCGAAGAAGCCATGGACCTATCCCATATGTGAACAAGATTATCATTGCCTCCACTGGCTAGTTGTTGTCCGGAAGCCGACCATTTCAGCCCGCAAACCTCTTGCTGGTGCCCTCTGTAGGTTTCGACAATATGTGATCTGATTCTCACATCATTGTTTAAAATCTGACCATCCATGCCTCCTGTTGTGAGAATGTGATTGTTCCATGCCATCGAACCAACTCTCGATGTGTGACCGCCTCTCAGAGTACGCAGCTGAAGCAACAAACGTAATAGACATGTCAGAATAAGCGATAGAAGAGCAAAAATAAGAAGCTGCAAATGCATATAAAATCAAAACCTGTCGGTTCGAAGCCGAATCCCATAGTTGTACTTCGGAATTGTTCAAGCCGATGGCAATATGCCGACCATCGGGTGCCCAATTCACACTTGTTACTGGACCATTTTCATCATCAACTGTAACAAGTTCTGACGTAGAACTATCTGAAGCATCCCACAAATACACGGTGTTACCAAGTGCTATTGCAAGAACATTGCCGCTGCCCCCACTCCAATAAGTTCAAGTAAAAATCATCGACGAGATCAGGAGCATCCAATGTCCTTTCAGAGCTCTGAATAATCAAAATAACAACCGTATCATATTAATGTCTGTTGCAACAAAATTTCCAGGTTCTAGTCAAATCATGCATATCATGCTCTAGTTACCTGTGGAATGTGTCTTCTAGGCTTTGCGGATTTGGCCGGATGAACCGAAGCAGTCGAATTATCGGAAGAAAAGTTTTCCACCGGTGTCGGTGGCTTGTTTTTGAAAGCCAAGATCCGGGTCCGGTTCATGTTCAAGTTCTCGGCCAACATCTTCCTGTAGGCATCCTTGGCAGGTGAGCACACTGTTTGGTCCTCTTTGATCTTCCTCCCTTCGGTCAGCATGTAATGAGCATAATCGAAGTCCATTGCCGAACGGTTCGGTATGAATCTATCCATCTGATTATACCAAGAAAAAAAAATCAATTTGAAAATCAAGAAATCAATAACAAGAAAAACCCAGATCTGCAATCACCAAAATCAAATAAAATACTGTATAAAAAAGTAGAAATGTTTACATTTTCTTTAGAATTATTCCTTCTCAGGAGAAACTGCTCTTGGAGTGGCCATTTAGATTGACCATTCAAGTTTGAAAAAGAATTCAAAGATCCTGCATCCATAATATCAAGTATCCCAGAAAAAAAAAACAGATATATATAACAAAATAGAAACGAAAAGCAACGAACAACTCAAGATCCTGCAAGAAATAGTTATGTAAAATCCAAAAAGTTATATAATATTACAATCCGCAACCTGCAAAATATCCAATTAAAATTTAATAGGAAAAAATCGATTAACAAAAAACAACATCAAATGAAAAACGCTGTAGACAAAAGAACAATTAGAGAAATTCGTTGAGAGAGCGGCTGTAGATGTTCGATTGAGAGTTATTGAAGAATTATGGGGGAATCGGCGGAGTTTATATAATGATGTTCGAGTAAATTTTTAATATGAGTTGAAAGAATATCTAGGGTTTTAATTTTGGGAAGCGGCAACGGCTATTTTTTTTTCTTCAGGAAGATCTAGGGTTTATCATGGGGAGCGGCAACGGTTAGTTTTCTTTTTATTTGTATTATGTGTCACAATTAACGCTTATTGTTCGATGAGTCGAGTTAAGTAAAAAATTTAAATTATTTGAGTTAACGAGTTCTATTTTATAATTCAAACTTGATTTAAATTATTTCGAGTTGAGTCGAGTTTATAAAATTCAAGTCGAGTTGTTTAAATTTCTTTTTAAATTTAATTATAAATATTTATAATATCACGATATTATATAATTTTAATTTAAACGGTTTTCTATAACTATAAGGAATACATATATATTTCTTCATTTTTTTATATGTTATATACATATATCATACAAAGTCGAGTGATTCAACTCAAACTTGAAAATCAATCTACTAATTACTAAAAATTTTGAGTTATTCGAGTTACTATTTGAGTTGTTCGAGATTCATTTTATAACTCGATTTAAATTTAAAAAAATCGAATCGAATTTATGAAATTATAAATCAAAGTCAATATGAGTCGAATTTTGCTCACCCTAGTCTCAATTGGTTGGGTTTTAATTTTATAAGTTTTTAGTTTAATGTTATGTAAGACCCTCAATTTTTTTTTCAAAATGTTAATGTGACCCTCAAACAATATTACTCTGAACATAACCCTCAAACCTTAAAAAATCTCAACGTTGTTCATTAACCAATAGTTTCCTTTGTTGACAGATGCAATGTCGATGTGATAGTTCATGATGTTGACATGACAACCAACAATGCTGACGTGTCAGTTTACAGTGGTCGATGATGTGGTAAATGAACTAAATTAATTTTTTGGTCAAATTCAATGACCAAATTAATTTTTTATTTTCAAGGGATTCTTATTTTTTAAAATATATATAATTATTCAAAAATTAAATAAAAAATACCAAAAATTAAAATTAAATTATTAAAAAACTAAAAATATATATATTAAAAATAAAATTATTCTCTTTTCTTTTCAATTAAAGCCTGCAATTTTATTTTACTTTGATTTAGTCCTCGAATCGCTTCTCATTACTACTTTGTTTTATTTTAAATCTTTTCCCTTTTATTTTGAATTTATTCAATCTAGTCATTGTTTTCAGTGTTTAATTCCATTCCCTTTTTTTAGTATTATTTTCACGCCTTTAAGTTTTGCTATTTACATTTATGCTCCTTTATTTCTTGTTTTATTTATTTGCGCCCTCTAATTTCAACACTAATTCAATTCAATCCCATGTTTATATTATGTACTAACTTCATGGTTTTGTTAATTTGGTTGTCACATTTTATTCATTTTACATATTAGTCCTAACCTCAACTTGTATATTTATCATTTAGCATTCTAATTTGTTCAATAATTCATTCTAATCCGTATTGTTTTGGCACAATATTAATTATTTTATTAATTATTCAAATATTTTATATACAATTTCACATTATTTTTCGATATATTTTGATCGTATATTCTTAAGGACACTTTATCATGGTTATCAAAACCGGACCGGACCGGCCGGTTGAACCGTGAACCGATGGCTTGTCCTGTTCGGTTACATCACAAAACCGGGCTGGCAATGAACTGGCTGAAAACCGGTAAAATCGGGGTGAACCGGCTGAAAACCGGTAAAACCGGTTTGAACTGTCAGTTCACTTTTTTTCTTTTAAAAAAAATTAAACCAAACGACGTCATTTGTTCAACGAGCCAAGTCAAATTCGAGTATTGCTGAGCTCGACTTGAACTCGAAAACTTTAAAAGTAAGCTCAACTCAACTCAAAAAATCACGAGCTAAAAATTATCAAGTTCAACTCGAACTCGAAATATAATATTAAAACTTGAACTCGAAAAGGCTCGAACTCAAAAAAATTTAGAAGTTCGATTGAAGCCTAAAATTTGAGCTCAATTGAAGCAAAAGAATAGTTCGCTCTGTGCTCACCAAAAGGCTCTATGATTTTGAATGTCAAATTACCTCTATTACTTATAGAAGCAAGTTGGGATGCTTTTCTATGTTTCTTAGCCATGTGGGATTGTTTTTTTAAAAACAATTAAACCAAATGACATCATTTGTTATGATTTTTTAAGCCCCAATTTTATTTTTTTTATTATAGTTATATAATTATATTTATTATTTAATATGTTTTACCTTAAATATTATTGTTGAGTTTATCGATTGACGGAATTGGCCAAGAGGGGGTGAATTGGCAATTAAAAATTTGGTGGAAGCTTTTGCAGAAAATTGAAAGTAATTATATAGCGATTTAGAGTGGTTCGACTTTCTCAATCAAAGTCTACGTCCACTACCTTAGCTATCCACAATAAGGATTTTCCAACAAATTCACTAATTTGTTCTTTCTTTTGAGGTCAAAGAGATAACCTTACAACACCCTCAAGAATATACCCCAATTCTTGAGAACACTCTTTCCCAAAGAGAAGATTACAAATTTGCAAACTTACAAGGAAATTCTCACAAGGTAGATTGTTTGCACAATTCTAGAACAAGAAAAGAACACTCCAAAATAATTACAAATGAGCACAAATGGTGTTCTTGAAAGCAAAATGAATATTGAAAGGAAAATTGGCTTGATTTGCACAAACTTGGTGTTTGATGCTTTCTCTCTTGTTTCTCTATAATTTCTTGTTGATCAAAGGCTTCAGAACTTGTTTAAATACTCCCTCAATTGATTCTGAACGTTGGGGATGATTAGTGGAGTCAATGGAGCCGTTTAAGTTTGAAACCCATTAATACAACATCTTGGAGCGTGGGGGAATCGGTACCCCTCCTGTGGAATCGGTTCCCTAAGTGTAAAATTCAAATATTCGACCGTTGAACAGTGGGGGGAATCGATACCCCCTGGGGGGGAATCGGATTCCCTCCGAGCATACTGGAATTTTTCGGAGCAAAACCATTCAGGGGGAATCGGTACCCCCTTGGGGGGAATCGGTTCCCTCTGAACAATCTGGAATTTTTGGCTTTAAAATGGTTCGAAATATTTTGTAAAATTATTTTAAGTTTAAATCTAAATTTTACACTTGAGTAATGATTAAAAATGACATTTGAAAGATTTGGAGTAATATTTTGATATTCGAATAATTATATCGAATATACTTAGAAAATCTTTTCGGAAAATCTTAAAATTCATTTATCTTAATTTTTTATATCGAAATATCAAAATGTTTTCAACAATCTCCCCCTTTTTGATATAAAAAAAACATTTTAGTAATTTTAAGATTTTGAAATCAAGTTTTGAAATTACTCCCCCTTACACTAACACTTCTCCCCTTTAAAACTCTTTAATATTTCTCCCCCTTTTTGTTAAATCAAAAAGACTTTTAAAACAAGGTTTTGAAATCATTTAGCCAATTGATGATAAATATATATAGCTTAAGCTGCTAAGATCACAATCAAGAGAAACGTTAGCCATTAGTTCCATAATTCAATATTCATAAATAATGTGAAATGACAAAAATTGGTCATAATGCAACTAATATGTAAATGATGCAAAAATAAACATTAAGCTCAAAATGAAAGTCAAAACCAAACCAAATATATAAGCATGTAAGTTCAAATATCCAATTATCCATCAAATTCAAACATCCAAAATAAAACAATCCATGAACATCAAAATGTTTTACAATTCAAAGTTTTGAGTTCGGGATGATAAATCCATTGGCCTGTTTCCTTATCATTTTTCCATCTTGCTTTCTTCAAGGAAGTAAGATTGATTTGGTTTTGAAGAGGGATAGAAATATCAGAAGAGAACCTAAGACCGAGTTTGATAAACAAATTACTAAGGAGACAACCATAAACCAAGGTTTCTATATTCTTGGAAGGAATAGTGTTTATGGAAACTCACTAAAGATGATCTCTGGCATATTAATCTTCTTTTTATATTGGATACAGTATATCCACCATATATCTATGTTCCTAAGGGAGGAGTACCTACCTCCGGATGGTCTAAACCACCAAGAGATCATATAATGAAGGAATCTATCACGATAAGTTCTTAGGGTACTCTCACTATCCTTAGACTTATAGGGTGAATCCACAGTCTCTTTTTCATTAAACCTGAGTTATCTAGTCCAAAATGGGTAGCGATTTGGAATATAAAAATATGGATTAATTGATGATAAACCAAAGGTTTGAGTTTAAAGAGCTTATCAAACTTCTAGGATTTAAGAGTAGGAAGATATTGGAAGTCCATATCTTCTATAGCTTGAATCGAAGGGATACGTTCTTCCCGGATTTTGTATGACTCAAAACAAGTATGGTACCTATGATATAGATTTTGTCTACGACCAAGTACGTGAAACAAGAGTTCAGAATGGTCATATTTGGGTTATTTGGATTGGGTGGAGGAATAAGAGGTCGGTTTTGACTTGAGCGACTAGACAATGTCTTAGGTCGTTTAGGATTTGACATGGTTTAAGAATCGGAATAGAATATGTAATCTGCAAATTTAAACACATGTATGCAATATAATCAAACCCAAAACTCAAATGAGTCCTCAATATTTCAAGGTTCTCTAAACCGAATCCTAAAGGGCAATGTTTTGAAAAACTATTTGGAAAATAATGTTTGAAAATCATAATACGCATAGTTTCTATGAAAACAACATAATTGAATCAAAAACATCAATTAAAACAACAATTCTCGATTTTTTTATTTCGAAATTAAAAGAAAAATTGAGTGTTTTTGACGAAATTAGTTGTAAAATCATCATATAACCAATGCCCGATGTAATGTTCATCTTAGAACTAATCAAAACTAGTCCTAAGTTCAAAAATCAATGAAATAGAGGATTTTGAAATATTATCTTGAAAATTTGGATTTTATGAGAATGTGATGTTGTTTGCAAGGATTAGAAGTTGAAGAAAGATCTAATTCCGACTTGTATTTGATGATTTTGGCAAAAATGGAGATTTAGAGAGAAAGAGAGGATG